AAAAAAAAGCAACTCACCAGGACTGAAGGATGTCCAGGCCTCCCTCCGGCGGTCCCCCGTTGCCTGCCAGTTGTTGCCGTCTCTTCCACTGGATCAGCTCGTCATCCAGAATGATGGTCTGCTGCTTCCTCAACAGCTGCAGTGTTTTCTGGTGCTTCTCTGCCAGGTCCTGCACACAAGCAAGCAAGACACATGTACTTCACCAGAACCAAGTTTTGATCAAATGTTTCTCTGAATCTGTGTAAGAGCTACAAATTTGTGCGTCATCGAAGTAAACCGTGGTTATGGAGAGACTCTTTTCCTCATAAATGCGACATTTGGTGACCTCCGCCTCACTCTTACTTTTGCCACCTCAGTATATATGTCAATAAAAATGTGGTTTGACGACTATTAAAAGAGTTTCTAGGTTCTTTACTAGGTTCTAGGTAGTATACCTACATATGCAGAGACCATGCTCACTTAATTCTGATGCAAACCGAGTCATTTTATGCTATAAACAGGCCCGAAATATGAGAGAAATGGCTCAGTTCAGAAAAAATCATCAAGGGTTACTCCGATTACGCTTTTAAAGGGGTAAAGACTTAACTTAGGGAGTGTGATGTTTGCAACTACCACAAAAGCTGCAGAGAACAGTTGCTCATTCTGCGTGTTCGTCTGGATGTGACTGCCTCGAAACAAGGTGCGGTCACAAAACTTTACAGGGTTGTAACTAAAATCAAAGTGATGGCCGATTTCACTGTGGGTGTAGTGTTACCTACATATACCATACTTTATTTACTTAAAGTCAAAAAGAAAACGCAGCACCAGCTTTGCGTGTGTATGTGTGTGACAGTCATCATGATAAAATGTCTGGGAGACAACAGCTGTAGCAGCAACTACCACAAAGTTGGCTTCAACTTCTTTGCCAGGTGTTTATATGTCTGTCTGTGGAGAGATTTTATCAGCTGTCCAAGATTTTCTGCACAGTTTAAAATCAAAACCAAGGCCCAGTTCAAGGATGGGTGTAATCTGGCAACTGCACTGGCACTGCAGTGATATGATCTCATTCCACAATGTGGTCTAGTTAATTTTATCTTTATGGAGTGTAATTTACACATTGATCCACACACACACACACACACACACGAACGAAATAAGTAAGTGCAAGTGTGTCTCACCAGTCTGTATTTCTGTAGTGTGTTGGCCTCTCTCGTCAGCCATGCCTCCACAGTGTTTTTCTTGCTCAGAAGGGCAGGCTCTCGTAGCTGGCGGTCAGCAGGGGGCAGTGTGGCCAGGCTGGCCAGTTGAGCTGAAGACGGGAGACAAGTTTAAGACGGAGGGAGTAGAAGAGAAGCAGTAACAATTTCTAACCTGTGCACATGCAATATTCATGTCCCATCTGAGGAATAATGATTTACTCAGGAAAACCCCCTCCTCCCCCTCCTGCATAGCTCAGATATTAAAAAAGCTCGATGCTTTCTGTCTGACACATGGAGCACTCGTGAAAAATCTGTAGTGTTACAGAAGCTGTCAGTTTCTCGCTGTTAATCTACATGACTCAACACAAAATTCAGATAGCTGTGTGAATAATTATCTTTTATTTTTGTATTTGGACAGTGACATGTGGCACACAACAGACTAAGTGAGACTGATTAACCAAAAGGGAGCAGCATAATTATTTTAAGCAAGTTGCTCACCAAACAAACAGAGTAGATAAACTAGAGTTTGTTTCTTGATTCAACAAGGAATTAAAATGGTACAGCAGCAAATCTAAATGACTAATAACAGTTAGAAACATTAATTATATGTTTTTTGGTATTTGCAGTACCAAAAACTGATTCTGTCATTATGGTCGTGCAGCGCTAAGAAGATGCAAGCCCTCTGGTCTCACCCTGAATGCGCATGCTTTCTTGGTACTGGATGATGAAGTACTCCTGGTTGTGTTGGAGCTTGCGGAGATCGTTCTCAGTGTCTTGGGTCAGCAGGCGAAGCTCCTCAAAAGCCTGGTTGATCTGTTGGTATTTCTGAGACATGCTGTCCATCATTCCACCCACTGGAGAGTTTGACTGTCGATTACAAAATATGAGATTGAGAGACCAGCAAACAGAGACAGACAGCTACGGAACCAAAACTAATATGATGCACTGACTGATCGATAGACCCCAGCACCTGCACTATTTAACTGTAAAAATTCTCCGGGAACACAAGGATAGTGGCAACGGTGCAAGTTAAAAAGGAAAAAATGTATTTGCATCCTCAGGAAGTGTGCAAGGTCACCACAGTTTGAAAAAGTGCATAACTGTACCTAAAGGTTCAGACTGAACGGGCCAAAATTAACTCCACTAACAGAAAAGGCATGTTGTGACTGAAAATCAATTCACCACAGGAGTTCAAGGAAGATGTCTTACGCACGGCTGGCTTTATGGTTCGGCTCACTGCATGTTATAAAAGTGTGAAATATCTGACTTTCCTGTGACTTTCCTGTATATTGCATTGTTAAAGTAGGGAAATACAAATGGTTTGGTTTTACAAAGCCATTTTAAAGCATGACTGTATTGGCTGCGGTCACATATCACATTTATAATGTTCGAATACAATGAACTCAGGAGACCCTCTAGGATAAACAAATACAGGAAACGGAGAATAGTAATCCACTTTCCGAATCAGCCACCATTATGTAGTTTGTGTTTTGCAGGCTATGAAGCCACAGGTGTGTTTGTGTGTCTGCTGTTCTGATTTCTTTGGTTTTTCCATATTTGTCACACTTACATATTTCAGATCATTAACCTCCTAAGACCCGAACTCTTCCACGGCATGCATTTTTAATTTCTCTTTGATAGTTGGGCATATTGGGGCCCGATTAACGTAAATAAAAAGAATTACCAGATCTTTTTTTTTTTTACCTTATTTTTGTTTTTAAGAAAAATAAGAGCTACATATGAGGATATTCGTTTAAAAATTTGATAGAACAGTAGCAGTATAATGTCCTCGTAAGTGGATATCAGGCCCTTGTAGAGCAAAATTGAGTATTCTGGTCTAAATAAGCCAAAATGTGATGTCCACATATGTGGACGCCAGGTCCTAGGAGGTTAAACTAATTTTAACATTAGACAATGACAACCTGACTAAATTAAAAAACACATCCCTTTGAAAGAATTCTGGACCACTCATCTTTGCAGAATTGTTTTAATTCAGCCACATTAGAGGGTTTTAAAGCATGAATGGTTTGCTTGCTTTGAACTGAAGCCTTTAAGCATAAATCTAAATGGATTTAAGTCAGCAAAGCTTCCCTAGACCATCACACTACCACCACCATGTTTTACTGTCGGTATGACGGTTCAACTTTTGTCTCGTCAGTCTCAAAAGTCTTGAGGATTATCAAAGTGTGTTTTGGCAAATGTGAGACGAGCCTTTGTGTTCTTTCTGGTCAACAGTAATTTTTCTCTTTCTAACTCTTCCATGGATGCCATTTTTGCACAGTCTCTTTCTTATTGTTGAATCATGAACGCTGACCCTGAGGCAAGCGAGGCCTGCAGCTCTTTAGTTGTTGTACTTGGTTCTTTTGTGAGCTCCTGGCCTTATATGAACCCTATGGATGAGTCGCCGAAGCGCTCTTCGAGTAACTTTGTTAGGTCGGCCTTTCCCGTGGAGGTTCACCACTGTTCCAATTTTTCTCCATTTGTGGATAATGGGTCTCACTGTGGTTCGCTGGAATCCCAAAGCCTCAGAAATGGCTTTGCGACCCTTTCTAGGCTCATAGATGTCAATGACTTTGTTTCTCAGCTGTTCTCATGTTTCTTGAGATTGTGGCAAGATGTGTCAGCTTTCCAAAGAAAAAAAAGCAGTTAATCACAGTTAAATCGTGATTTTACAAGCTGGGGTTGGGGTTATTTTGCCATAGGGTCACGAAGAGTTTGGTTAACTCCCTTGATAAATAAAATCTTCATTTAAAAAACTGGATTTTGTATTTTTCTTTTCTTTAATATTAAAATAGGATTGACGATCTGAAAATATAAGTGTAACAAACTGGAATGTGGCAAATACTTTTTCACATATACACTCAGAAATGATTTATTTTTATACATGTTCGATGCACAAACACGAATCCCACTTACGTTTGTAGCCTCTCGGACGAGCCTCTGCTCTGTGTAAAGGATGTGTTTGATACATCGGACCAGCTCCAGAGGACAGCGGTCATACGTGCTCTGAAAGACAAGGAGCACATGAGCTGTGTTAAGGCCTGTTAGCTCTTGACGAGTAGAGCGGCTTCTGCACACAGGGCTCGCCAATTTAGTGGAATCAAAGGTTCTGGAGCTGACACTGCAGACACACCAAAACCTATTAAGTTAATGAGCACACTTCATATAGGGCCATGACTCATTAGTATACGCCTAGTTAAGTGGTTTGTCTGTTACAGTGTAACAAAATCTCGTTTCAGTTTAAAACTGCGGGCGATACTCTTGTTGTTTCCTGTTTTAAGTGAAGGAATTAAGTTTCAAGTTGAATTGCTTTCACTTCATACCGCACAGAAAGAGAGAAATCATTCACAGTAGCTATATATCTGCATTTTTCTGACTTTTGCAGGAAAGAGAGGAACCCAAGTGACACATTTAACATGTCACTCTCAACTACACGAATACACGTGTGCTCAGCGCCATAAACTGGGAAACAGTGTGGTAGGAATTCAGGACTGCAGTGTGATGTGCGCAGCCTGCCCCATTCTCCCTGTTTTTCCTCGTGGTGTCAGGGAGGGGAGAAAACAAACAGAAGAACAGATCTGTGAAGAGGGAGTTCGATCATAAATAGCAGAGCTGGCTAGCTACTGAGGCCCTCGCTCGAGCCGTCCTGTTGTTTTCCTCTCAGTGGATACAACCTGTTCTTAAAACATTTTGTGCAACATGTGCTCTTTCTGAGAACTACAGTAAGGGAGGCAGTTAAGCTGAACAGCTGTGACTTCTAATCACATCAATCACATCATTTTGTGACATTGTAAACAATTTTATGCTCTTCTTAAAACAGTGCTACAGTCTGGGTAGGTGTAATATTGAGATTTAGGACGTTTTTGTTTTTATTATTCATTCAGAGTTGCTTTTGAATGACTTGTTTTTGACATTCCCAGTACTTGGAGTGCCAGTACTTTCCATTCCTTATTTCTGTAGCCACAGATGACACAGGGTCTGACAAACAAGCCACAGCTGAAACACATGTACCCGCTGCAAATCAAAGCCAAGCA